TCCTTCTGCCGTCCCCACTCCCCCCCCCCCCCGCCCAAAGTTCCGCCGCAGAAAGAGGCAAGAAACAACGCGAGACAACAAGGGAGAGTTCAGCCAAAAAGGAAATACGCCCCATCACACTTCCCTTCCAGCCGTCAGTCCCCAAGCAGGGATGCCAGTTAGGGGGCCATAACTAGCAAAAAGGAAGGAAAGGATGGTGATAAGGAAAAAATAAAAAATAAAAAAAGATACCACGTTCCACAGACCTCGGCATTCACTCAGGACACATCTCGTTGTTGTGGTTGCTACTGCTGCCGCTGCTAGTGGTTTCGTTTCGTTTCATGTTTTTGCTCTTGTTGTTTCTCTCTTCCCTCCTTTTATCGCCCTCATTTTCATGAACGATACACGAAAGAACTACTGGTAGGCCAAAAGGTTGGTAGTGACGCCAAACTTGTAGACCTGGCTGCGGACATACCCCATGTCCCGCAGAAAGCCACAATACTTGTAGAATGGTCCCTGCCAATAGTAGTAGTTGCCTAACGTGCTCACCCGTCCACAAAGAGGCAGCAGCATACTCTGCGGCCCACAGACAAGGATCTTGGGCCGTACAAGCTTCCCTGTCGCGGGATCAGCGATAGCGGGGGGTGGCAGCGCCTTTTCCACTACAGTTGGATCAATGTTCCCGAGAAAAAAGTTATCACCCAGCCGTACACCCTCGGCCTGTGTTTGCTTGCCCAGGGAGAGGACGTTGTAGTTGGCGGTGATTCTGCCAGGATTTCGCCTGGCGTAGGCGTCAAAGACCTCGCGAAAGGGGATGTCCTTTGCCGTTTGGTGGCAGTACAGGAGACGCAGCTTTGTGCTATCCGCCTTGTCGTTGTCCAGCACCTTCATCAGCTGCAACGCGATGGAGGCACCCGAGGTGGTGCAGACGAGGCCCAGCTCCCCGTACGTGTTCCGCCTGTACGGAAACTCCCGCATCCAGCGGCCGAGGTAGACCCGATCGCCGCGCTCGAGAGACCGCAGTCGCGCCGCCATGCGTCCGGGGTCGCGGTCTTTAATCGCGAACTCCACGATCCCCCGCTGCTCCGGGTGACTGACCGGTGTGTACCAGCGGCTCACAGGCCCCATCCCACGCACGGTGCCGGAGGTGACCCGCACCGAACTCACCGGTTGATACCCGCAGTAGTCGTAACTGTTGGGCAGCGCGAAGCGCAGCAGCATCATGCTAGACCCCGTCAGCTTCTCCTTCTCGATGAGGGTCGCCGGCACCAGCGGCGCAAACCGTGAGCGCTTCGCCAGCGGCCGGTGCTCCTGGCGGCGAACAAAAAACGCATAGTAGAGAGCGCAAAACACCCCACCAGCAACTCCGCAAACTACAGAAAGGCGGGCTGCGTAGCCGACGTTGACGTCATAAAGAAGCTTTCTGACACGCTTAGGAATGTCTTGTAACTCGTAGGACCAACGTGCCGCCTCACGCTGTGGGTGCCGCCTTCGCCGCCACGCCTTGCAACCGCTGCCATCACCAAACCAGGAGGAAGCTGACGCTGGGGCGCCGCCGCCTTCACCACTAGGAGACCCCATAGACGAGAATCAACTGCCTGAATTTTTCCCTCAACTCTTCCACCGCCCGCCCCCAAGCCAAGAAAGTGAATGCGCGCGCGAGAGAGACGGCATGAACCAACAACTGGCGGCGTAGTGCAGCAGAAAGAAGCCCAGCGGCAGCAGCAGCAGCAACAACAGGAAGCACAGACAGCGAAAATTCTTTGTCATCAACTTTTGCTACACGGAGTAAATTCCACCCGAGTGAGGAGTGCTACACAGACACAAATAGCTAGAGACTGAGAAAGAAACAAAAACCACCTCACTTTCCTCCTCCCTCTCTCGACCTTCCCGTGCCCTTCACCAACGGACACGTCAGGCGCAATGACGCTTACCCTGCACTACACCAGCCCCCTTCTCCCCCCAATCCCTGCACACCCGCCTCCCTGCCCTTTCACTACCACTTTTTTTTTTTTACTTTTATCTTCTTTTTCGGATCCCCCCATCACTAAGAGAGAAGTCCAAGGAAACAACAACAGCGAGTACGCTCATTTCGCTGCTCATCCCTCCTCTTCCCCTTCACCCCATGCAATACACCCCCACCTTTTTATTTCCTGGTTTTACTTCTCCTTCTTGTCGCTCCAAGCCTACTGCGGGGGAAATCCACCCCCTCCCCCTTCTCCCCTCCCTCTCTCTGCGTTCATGGTCGAATAATATACTTCTTCTAGCTATACTACCCCCCCACTTCTCAGCATTCTTTTTTTTTTATTCTTGCGTGTTTGTGTATGTGGGGCAAAAAAAAAAGAGGGCGAGGGCGGGGTAGTCTTTTCTCCGTTTCCTCACGCATTGGTGGGGCGGCCAAGTTCAAACAGCGCCGGACCGGGCAAGCTTCTGCAACTCAGCTGCTGCCGAAGCCGGCTCTAACACACGCACGTCTTTTGCCTCCTTCAGCGCCGTCTCAAGCGCTATCTGCAGTTTGTCTGCCTCTGCATACAACATTCTCTTTTTGTCAAGTCCATCTATGATAATTTTGGCGGCATTTGAGCCTGATCCCACTACAATGACGTTCACAGAAGATAGTTTAAAGGCGTTGGGCCGTGCCGGATGTGCCGCAAGGGCATCATTCGGAGGAGACGAAAATAAATGACCCCCCGCCGCTGCCTTGCTGGCCGAATCGTCCGTGTACGTATGGGGCAACTTATACCCAAAGCCAGAGACATGACGACGGCCATAGTGGCGGTGTGAACGCGCCTTGTACAAACCAATGCGCTCCGAAAGGGGCTTCTGCACGCGACCCAAGCTTTTTTCTACCAAATCGTGCTCCCCAACATCTACCTTATCCGTAGGCGTAGAGACGACATCCCACGCACGAGACACCCACCCTTCAGCGATGCGGTGGTGGCGTGCGCCAAACAGGTACGGCGACGCCCGAAGAATATCCGCCTCCGCCTCTGAACTGCATATAACCAGCGTAAGCTTTTTAGCATCCGGGCTCAGAACACTTTCTGCGGCAACAGTCAAAAGTCCCTTGTCATCCGCGTAAAACCCCCATCGAGCACACAAGAAAGCCGTGACATCAAGTAAAACGTCACAGCTTGGCTCGGCCGCAATAGCTGCCTTCATAGGGATACTGTACGGCTCCAATGCAATGAATTTGGGATGCTCAAGAGATAAGTCTTGTGGACGGGGTCCACCAAACTCCTCAACAATACGGGGACTCTCAAAATCCCAGCCGGGAGCATGGTATACCAGTACACCAGGCCGCCGCCATCCCCACTCATCAATGGGAGATTGAGAGATGCGCTTCGATAGCATGATTTCTTGCTGTGCTACATAATTAAATTTACGTATAGCTGCAAGGGATGCAAAGTAGGCGTGCGTCGGGTTGTCGGTGATGATACGATAGGGTGTTTGAGTGGCCGGATGACTTCCAAAGACGCCATCGATGAGGTAAAAGCGTAATCCCTGACCTAAATGGTACTGTATTTCCCGCAAAATGCGCTTCCCATGTAGTGAGCTGATGTCTCGAAATCCATGGAGAGGAGGATTTTTAAGGCGGCGGTGCATCTGATGCTCTGGTGTGTGCGGAAACATAAGAAGCTGAGGCGGCGTAGTCTTCTCCCTTGTATTCCCACAATTGTAGTAGTAGTCAATGACCATTGCGCCCGCTTTATTGAAACGACGTCCCCAGGCACGTCCCCGCACCTCATACGGACGTAGGTTATACTCGCCCACCCCATACGTGTATCGCCAGACGCCCGACCACATGCCTGCATTTGCGTAGTCTCCCACCTGCGTCCAGTTTGACACCAGTGTGCTGCTGTTCGCGTTCCACCAGGGCCCAGGGTCCTCATTCGTCTTGCGGAAGAGTGAGAGGGAGTTGAAACCCCATTGATACATCGTCCGCAAATAATTCTTTGCGTCCAGAGCAGATGAAACGCGTGGGGCGACCTCATGTCGAAAGATGGGCTTGCGACGCTCCTCCTCGGCGTCGGGATTGCAGCATATCTCGTTGAGAATTGACATTTGCCCCGCGCTGTGCCCCGCCTGCGGGCGGAGAGTCTCTTGAATGTTTGCGTAGCGCACATGGCGACGCTGCTGACTAGGGCCCAGGCAGCACGCAAGGGCGGCCGGCGCGCTCTTTGACCCAATGAGGGCACCACGCAGCATTTGCAGCCACAACGCACAGACACGATTGCCACGGCTCACAGCGGGCGTAGAACTCCCAGCAGGTTTGACGCGAGAAGACGGCCAAAGAGAAGAGAGAACACAAAAAGAAGAAGGGAAAAAGAAAAGTAACAGGTATTTCAACGGGCAGTCACGTAAACACGAGAAATGAGTCGTCAAAAGTCAAGGGCTTCATGAGGCGGTGTCCAGCGGACGACCAGCGAGAGAGAGAGGGAAAGAATGCGCGAGGGCTATGCCAACAGCCTCCTTGGAGAGAAGCACTGGGGGAGCTAGAACCAGGCTGTGCCACAGGGACGGGGCCCTTCCCCATTCTGCCTACCCGAAGAGGAAGGAGAACGAGAAAGCCGCAAAAGAAAATACAAGCAGATGCACCCATATCGCACAACACGGGTACGAATTGAAATTGTGTGTAACGCGCAGAAGGGTGGATAACTGCATATAAAAAGGCGTTTTACTGGCAACCGGGCCTGGCTTGGAAACTCACGCAGTGGCGGTTCTTAAAGCCCCCACAAGCACCAGACTCCGCCGCGTCGAAGGGTGGTCCGGGGCTAAGACGGAAAGAAGGATTTAGGGAACGGCACCCGCCCCACTCCAACGCAACTTCGTAAGGAATAATAAGTAAAAAAAAAAAATCAATCCACAATAAAAAAAATCCAAGGTATGAAGGCAGGCTACCCCCTCCTCTATGCAGACGCATATGGGCGCACATTTCCCTCCATACTTTTCAGCATAAGTTCGTGCAAAAACCTTTGGAGGAGGTAGAAGCACGTCACACGAAACCGCATGCGTGCATACATATTTGACCGCGTATGCCTCCGTGAAGCCTCCCAGGCTAATAATACAGCAACGACAAAAATAAACAAGCACTCTCGCCCCAGAGAAACGGTAGAAACTAATATTTTTAAAAAAGCGTCCTCATGCCCAATATATTTTCCGACTTGGGAAAAGGGAAACGGGAATACCGCTATTTCTGGTTTCACAAATTATGCGGCGCTGCACGTGTTGCCTAACAAAAGGGAGAGAAGTGCTTGACGTGGGTGTCAGTGTGTGTGTGTGTGTGTGGAAGGGGAGGGA